TTGATGAATGGGTCCAGTTCACCTTCAGAAAACTGATGGCCCTTCCTCTGCCCTCAAATGAACAGTTTCTGCCAGTTTAGTCTGGCAGGGTCATTGCAGGGTCAAACGCATAAGCAAGGAAAGATAGCAAACATGTGGCTGGGAGCAGGACCTCCCCCTCAGGAAAGGGTGAGATGGTAGGGAGTTTTGGCTCTCGGGGTCTGTATTGCAATTGTGGCACGCAGAATGGACACTTCAGCTTTTGGATGAGGACTGGGACGCTGCTGTTCTTCTCAGACATGCATGAACTGCAGCAGCAAACAGTCTTTTGTGGGCTTTCCCACAGCCACTGGGCTCTAGACTAATAGCTGAGTGACTGTACAGCGTGGGCAAGGATGGAAATTGGTTGCTGTTTTCCTTCATGTGGTCTCTGTACTGCAAGCCGAGCTTTACAGCACTCAGCTGGGCCCTCTACTGAGGGGCACCTCCTCTCCAGGGCTGGCCTGAGCACCTACATTTAAAACCTCTCCCCAGCCCTGACCGGCACCCTCCATGGTTCACATCCCAAAGGAGCAGTGGCAAGGACGTCCCCGGCAGGCAGGACACGTGGACTTCGAACACTGCCTCAGAAACAATGCCCAGGCAAGCCCAGCAACTGCCATGCCCAGTTTCCCAATGGCTGTTCTGCGGCCGCCCTGCCCTTTCCCCCGCATGTGTTCAGGGCCGCAGAACAGCGAAAATCCCTGTCTGCTGTCCACCATTTCACTCCACTTCCATCTTTGATTTTATACAAGCTTCCAAGACACACCTTCTCCTGCCGAGTAACCATTTATATGGGCTTTTCTTTTCCCCTGCTAAGGTCAGGAATAGGATCACATGCAGCCATTACCTTTCCTCTGAGTCAGTGCCAACACGTGGAGGGCAAAGACCATACTCTGCTCAGAGCAAGGTGCACCTTCTTCTCTTTGGTCGTAGAAGGCGCACAGCCTGTTCCAGCTGCTACCGCGATAAAACCTAATCAGCAAAGTATGCTGCTTGTATAAATCACTAGCATGTCATGTACTAATGGAGGTGTTGTGCTGTGAGCATCAAGCAAAACCACCCACACAGAGATTTCCATCCATCTCTGACAGCATCACTCACTTGCTGCACGACCTTGGTCAAGTCACTCGTAGCCTGACTTTCAGAAGCATCAGCCTCCTGGAAATCAGGTCAGCGCACTGCCTGCTCTTCAACTGCCCCTAGGAAAATAAAGCAAATGCTGCGTCTCCGCTTCCCCTAACATCTGCCAAGGACAAAGCACTATTGTTCCCAAAGCTAGCCCTGCTGGCGTCGCATCGCGAGGCAGATGCACCTCTACACAGGCAGGAGTCCCAGTGCCGAGTCCTTCCAGCGCACACAACTCAACGTAGTAGTGTGCTGACAGACACCTTTCACACCAGTCCTGAGATGAGGCAAGCCTTCTGATCTGGATAGTAAACTTTTGGCTATTCTTCATTCTGAAGTTGACTGCAAGTTTTGGGCTAAGGGTGCACGCTCTGCTGAAGGTATTTGTTTGCCTACTTCTAAATTCTTATTCTTCTGGTTTCAAGGCAGCAAGACCCCAGTATCTTAGAGTTCGTTTGCTTGGGAAAGCCCTAAGGAGGTAAAGGAGTCTTGCAAAATAACCCACCCATGTGAATTTCTGCCCAAATAAAAGCCTGAGAAAAGGGCCCTGTTTTTTTATTAAGAAAAAAAAAAATAGAGCTTTTTAAGCTTCGTAGGTACACTGAGGCAAGGGGAAAGCCTGGACGAGTAGCTTCTGTGTAGCTGGTTGGATTACATATCTATAGCAATAGCATGGGGGTTTGGCCACAGCTGTGCTGCTGGTCTGTGTTCCTGGCTAACTGATCTCTAGCCCAGGGTAAGCTTTCAGAGAAGATGTACTCAAGATGCCATGCGTACCTCAGTAAAAGCATTGTGTTCAAAGCCTAGCCAAAAACATTTTTTTCCATTATCTCTGTCCCCCAAAATCAGCCCAGTCCCACATCTGCCGACACCAATGGGAACATGAACCGACCTTACGTTTTCATGCACTCTGGACAAAACCTGCCCATGAGCAGCATGCAAGCTTTCTGTCAAAATGCCTTTGGCCTCTGTACAAGCATAATTAGAGCCTGATTTGAACTTTCCTGATTTCAATTTCCCAGCTTCCCTTTGAAGCCCTACTCAGTAAGAAGTGCCAGACACCCCACATCTACATTATAATGCATCCTAGCACACTTGAAAGCCCAAGGGCACGCTAAAGAAATCCAAATCCTTCAAATCCATAGCCAATATACAACATGAGATCAAGGACAGATGAAAAGTATTTCCTGGAATGAATATGCACAGTGAATTGTTTTCCCCATTTAGGAAGGGCTGCTGCTTTGTGCTTGTGCGTGCGTGCATGTGTGTGTGCGTGTGCTTAAAAAAATGCTCCGATTATGTCAATTATGTTAATTTATGAATATAAAAGCAATTCTTGCAGATAAAAGCATTAAAGAGCCCGTTTCAGTTTCCCTGTTACAGGTAGCGTTTCTTAGCCGAAGCCTAAACATTTATATCCTGTTGTTCAGCCACATCTCTTTGCCACTCATTCTTCATTCCAGATCAACCAAAGAATTGCTCTGAAGTATTTGCTGCTTAGGATTCTTACTACTGATGACAGCTAGATTGTAGGTTTTCTCTATTGGCTTACTGTGTTCATGCTTTAGCTTAGGAATATTGGAAATTAGCCCCAGGTCAGATCTAACAGAAGGATAGAGATCAAAGTGGTTTGCTTGTACTTGAT